GGTGAGGCGAGGCGGTTGTCGCTGCCGCAGTATTTCGCAAGAGGGTGTTGGGGAGGGGGGGACGGGCCGGGGGAGTGGGGGGCTTAGGAGCACTGCTTTCTCCAGGCTGTGCTGTTGGTAGGCCCGGCTGCCATCTTAACGTGCGAGGGTGGCGAGGAGGCTGAGGTGGGATCAGCCTGTGCTGGGCCTTCCTGCGAGCTGCGTACCCGGCCTTCATCCCACACCTTTGGCGGAGCGATGGCTTTTGGTGCCCGTGCTCCCGCTGAGCCTTTGAGGCCGTGCAGGGAGAGGCAGTAGGTGCCTGCGCCTGTGGAGGCTGCTGAGGCAAGCTCTTGCCCCTCGCTAGCAAATTTTTGTACAGCCCGGCCTGCGTGTGTGGCAGTGATAGTCAGCAGCGTGCTGAGCACAGGCTGTTGCTTTTGAGGAACCCAGTGATAAACGAGCACATGAGGTGCCTGTAAATCACAGCAAGCAGAAGGGGAAAAGAGTGTTTTTTAAGAGTGTGCCTTCCTTCTGAAGTTGCTTTTTTATTGTGCTTGGGTGTTTCATAATCTCCCGAGTGGCAGGAGGGCTGCTGGTAAGCTTCATTTAAGCTTTATATTTGCATTAGCAGTCAGACACATGTTAGTAAAGGGCTCTCTGAAGCATACCTAATTCTGGCTCCTGCACTGAACAGTGCTGTCTGGACTGGCTTGGAGGAGGCAGTGGAGAGCCTGTAGTTTAGGTCTGTGGGTTGTGGATACTTTGGGGACAGCAAAAGCATGAACCTTCCTGAAAAATGGCTGAAATGGGGTGGAATCAATCCAGTATCTCACCTGTCTGTCCTGAGGTCCTCAGGTCACCTGTCTGTCCTCAGGTCACCTGTCTGTCCTCAGGTCACCTGTCTGTCCTGAAGTCTTTCAGATGAGTATATGCACAGCAGACCAAGATAGCCAGGGTAGAAAGGCCAGGGAAAGAACTTGGGGTTTGTCATACATATATGCTTCATCAGCCAGTAATGTAAAGGTGAGAGTCCTACTGTGTCATACCAATGGGAATTCAGTTTATAGTAGTTTTCTGGTCTATTTCACCTAGTTAGGCTTTCATTAGAGAAACAGACATTTCTGGGCACCCTTACCCAAATATAACAGCCAAAGGGAGTCCAGAGGGGAGCATGCTGACTGTCCAAGCTTCTCTTCACTGAGCCTAGCAGGGAGAGTTGAAATAACGAATTTTTGGTGGTGGTTGTTTGAGATGTGACAGACAAGGAGAGCTGAGATAGTAGGGTCTATCTTAGAAAAAGAGAGGTGGTAAGAAGGGTGAGCCTTTCAGAGACCTGCTGGTCACAGAATGAAAGGGGACTGATTTTAGCTGCCACAGCAAATTCTTGCAAAGTGTTTGGGCACTTGTCGTATCTTAAGATATTTTTTTTTAGAAGTTTTCATGATAGAATACACTACTTCTGAAAGGATTGTAGAACTGCTCTTCCTCAGTGTGCTATAGATGAAAACTTAAGCTCTCACTGCAAAGATACTAATAAAAGGTAAAATCCTTCCCCCTTACAGAGATGAGAAAGGTACTGAATAGAAGTTAGGGAGGAAGAAAACAAAATGCCTTTAAGCCAGAGGAAGAGAGGGCTGTGTTTCAGGTGTCAGAAATGCATGACAACCAAGGTATTGATTTCATAATTTAAACTTTCATTTGGTTGAGTATTACCTTCTAAGCTGTTATGATTGTAAAGAAAACTTTTTCAAATGAGTCTTAATATGACATGATGCATGGCTAGCTTTGAAAGGCCTAATCTAGGCAGAGTCATGCTTGTTTAACTGAAGTCATGATGCTAAATGAATGCAATTTTTTATATGGACACTTATCAGATTAGCTTGCACTTACAAATTGCAGGTGTAATTGATATGACCTGGTTTAAACGGATATAAATGTGTCTCCATAATGTGGTGGTGGTTTAAACTCATGCCACTTCTCCTTTCATATAGCTCTGTAGTCTTGCGACAGGCAGCCCCATTGACAGTGCCGAGCTGCACAGAACTTTCATGATGAAACCCGTCAGGAAAATGAAACTGGGAAGACTGGTCCATTTTGTAGCAAAATAGTGACAATGGAATGAGCTTAAAGAGAGTGACAAGGATGAGCAAAGGTGTGGAAAACTTGTATGGAAGAAACAACTAAGCATACCAGGTCCTTTTAAGCTTGAAAACGTGACTGCAAGGGGACCTGATATAGGTCTGTATCCTCTGTATGCTATTTGTAGTTTTAAACAAAGAATGAATATTCACTGTCAATACAAAATTAGGGCTATCAAATAGAACCAGCAGTTGACAAGCTCAGAACAAACAGAAGGGGGTGGTTCTTACCATAATCTGTGGCTGTGCTGTGAAACTCCTTTCCACAGGATGTTGCGACCCTTAAAAATATACTTGTGGCTCAGGAAACAACTAAAAAAAATAATGGAAGCAAAAACATGGGGCTATTAAATGCAAAGAGAACACCCTGTGCTCAGGCAGTGCCTGAGCTGCCAAATGTTGAGTGCATGTTTGGAGAAAGTATTGTAACGTGGCAGTGGCTGATCAGTGTCTATGCAAGAGCATAAAGAACAGGGAAAAGGCCAACATAGTCTTTGCTCAGTAAAGCTGTTCTTACAAGTTTTTTCAAAAAGCTGTGGGTGGTACCTTGTGGTCACTTCTGCGTGCTGTCCTGCAAAGCCGCTCGTCTGAGCTGAGGCAGGGTGGGAAGGCTAACTGGATAGTCTCTTCAAGGCTTAAGGAGGAGGTGCAGGTAGGATCCAGCTCTTTATCCTTTACCAACACAGAGGGTTGATCTCTAGGATTTATCTTAGACTTTGCTGGTGGATCATCCTCTATTGTATCGTAGCTTGCCTGGTAAATTTTTCCAAGCACGCAGTGGGCGCAGCACCTGTGAAATGATTTGCCAGCATGCAAAATGATTCCAAGAGCATGGTGAAAAAGGAAGGGTGTCCACAAACTGCAAGTAGGCATTTGAATTTAAACAAAACTCATCTCTGCTGGACTGATTTTAACAATTCAGCCAAATTTGTGGATGCAGGAACGACTAATTCGTCTGTGAAAAGACCCGCTCAAGTGTGCTGGCAGGTGACAAGGCATGAGAAGACTGCTTAGGGAAGGCTTTCTTTTTTTTTTTTCTTTGCCCCCACCTCTTCAGTTGGCTTTGATCTGTTTTATGAGGGTCAGAAGACGAAAACCTCATTACCTAACGCTGTTGGATGTCGACGTATGTGTGATATGGCTCTTTGCCAGTATCTTAATTAGGGAATTCATAAAAGCGGAGGGTGGATGCCAGTTCTTGAAAAGTGCTTTTAGCCTTTCTGCTGGAAAGAAAGCTTTTATTAATTCATTACAAAATGTATTAAAAGGGATTGAGCTCAACTCTGTAAGCAAAGCTGCTTCCTTCTCTCTTTGTCTCTGCCTTTATGTGAGCCGTTTCGGGCTCCCTGCCCAAGATGGTCCCAACAAATGAGATTTGTAATAAGTATGTAAGTCAGTTTGGATTGAAATCCACTCCAGGTCTCTCTGGTTTGAAAAGGTCTCCAGATTGTGAGCAAGTGTTGCCAAAATTAAACAAAAATGGCTCAATGCCTTGTCATACCTTGTGGAGCAAGGGATGCATCTGGTTTTAGATCCCTGTGTGTATCCAAAGCTGCTGGGACTTGACTTTTTAGAGTGGCTCTTGAGGAGCAGAAGGGCAACTCTGTGTGCTCTGAGCTGCTGCCTGGATGTGAAGCACCTGTTTCACTTGGCCCTTTTAACTGACACTACTTAAAGATGTTGCTGTGAGTAAAGTCCTGCGTCCCTGTGACAAGCCATGTGAACCTGAGGAGTTTTCATGTGAGCTTTCTGCCTGCTGCACTTCAGCTCTGTCCCAGAGGATCGTCTTCATGACAAGGAGAGCCAGAAAAAGCAAGGTTTCGTCTTTGCAATTTATAAGCCGCTGTGTTGAGATTGCCACTCAAAAGGTAAGCTGGTGTGAAGTGCAGTGGTGGTTCAGCTAAGCAAGCTTGGTTCTTTGTTTTCATGCGGGTTTCCAGTAGGCCTAGGTACATACTCCAGCTGACTTTCTTATGTATTGGTTATGGGGTGGAAAAGCTTTCCAACCACAACAAGCTCAGGTGTGCACCTGCTTCTAGGATTGCTCTCCTGGAGAGCTGCTGCAGGGAATTATGCCACAGCTCTACAGGTTTTCTTGTGCTACAGCTTTACAGGCTACGGCCCCCCTGGGAGTTTCCTCAGCAGCCCAGAGAGTAATCAGTAATTCCCAGGCATTATTCTGATTTCTCCTTGCGCTTATTTTCTATTTCTATCTTTGCTTTGCCCTACAGTGAAGAGTTACTTGGATGGTTGAGCTGCTGAGAGACTTCTAGCTTGCAGGAACAGATTCCAGATCCCAAGTGAGGCAATGGGACCAACATATCAAGATAGTGCTCTGCCCATAGTTTGGGTTGGTACCTGAAGCGCCTTGTGTAAATGAGCCACCTCCAGGAGGCAGATAGTATTGTCCTAATTTGTAAGTAGGGAAACTGAGGTATGGTAAATGGGTAACAACTGGGAATCCTCTCTCTCTTCCTTCCTTACAGCCCCTAATGCCTCAGACTAGCCTGAAGAAAAGAAATAGTGACATTCTGGAGGAAAAATATTTTGTTCATTCAGCAATTTGTTCCTCCTTCCTTGCTTTTTTTTGGGGGGGGGATTATTTTCTGTCCCTTGTGCCCTCAGCTCAGCAAAGCTGATGGTGCAGTTCTAGGGCACGTGGTTTATTAGCAGATTATTGCTCTCCAGCAGGGGACCCAAACTTTGGGTTTGATTTAAGAGCAGTAAAACCAGTTGAAACTTTTAAAGTATTATGTGGAATCTGGAGATTTTTAGTCAGCAGAAAGTAAAAGCATTGGCAGAGTTGGGCGGAATATCCTCTTGTTATGTCTCATGCAAGCATGGGCAGAGAATGTACTAGTGAGAGCAACTGCAATCTGAGCAGGAGAAGCAGTTCTGGAGAGGATAGGAAGCGCAATGACATGGATAATTTAGTGGTGGGATTGGCAGCTGACTAACCAAAGCTGTCATTAAATTGTATTATTTAACATGATTTTAAAATGTGTTTCCAGAAAAGGCATGGTACATTGTAATAAGTTTACGGGGTAAGGAGGAGCCAGGTAACACATGCTGAAGTACCTCTTGCTCTGTGTGTGTCTGTGAGGGTTTCCAACAAAAAAGGGAGCAGAGATACAATCATTTGCAAATGGTAGGAACTGGTGAGGGAGATGGTCATTCTTAAATTGGACTGGATGGACACCACACCTCCACTCCACTGCATTCAAATGAACTTGCTGATAAGCGTGGTCAGAGCTGACATGGGTGAAGCCCTTAGTTGGCCCTGAAATAGAGCAGGGCAATGCACCTCACTGACTGACCTGTAGTGGATCACAGATAGTGATGAGCAGCTGAAGTTAACATTCTTAACTGGCACAGCTGGATATGGAGGAGGACAATTATCTTTGCCCTGACCAAATGCATTTTCAGCTAGCATGCTTCAAAAATATCCATGTCCCGATCCAGGCAAACCCAAGCATTGCCAAACATAGAAGCACCATTCCCTGTGCTCTGGGATCAGGTGCTGTGCCTTGGTGCACCCCTTGGGCTCAGGGCAAGCTGTGCAGGTGCCTCTTGGGAGCTTGGCATCTCAACAGCCCTGGCAGAATTGCCCAATAACAAGGGATTTGGAAAATGCTATCTGGTAAGATGCAATGATTTTTTTAAGCCTTGTTACATGTGGCCCCCTCCCCAGCTCTACTGTGCCCCTTGCAGTGAGACTATTCAGCTGACTGGTTAAACTGCTTTTCACAGTCTGCTTAGTTCTCCCGTTTACGTCAAGCCTCTTCTCCCATCCTGCTTATTTATAACGCTTGCCTGTCTTTCCTGAGCAGAAGGTGTGAGATTGCTAATGAGCTCAGGATGGAGCTCATCCCCAAAGCAGCAATAATTAGGGATCACTACCTTTGATTTTGTTTCCCATATCACTGTTTATGGGAGTGTTTGTGCTCTGGGCCACCTCTGAGGCTGATGTTCGGGCAGCTGGTATCTCAGTTGACCTCAGTACTTACCCAGGACCATGCTGCCTCTTAGCTTTTCGTTTGTGAAGGTTCCTACCACAGAGAGGCCGTGCTGCCAGCCATCTAGCCAGCCTTGGTGTTCCTTGAAGAATCAGACACAGCAGGAGTGTTGTGCTGAGTAGCTAAGAAGAGAGGTCATTGCTACCTCAGGGCACTGAGGCCATTTTCTTTGAGGCCAGGATGTTGTGTTCACGTTATCTGATTAGTCCCACTGTTGCCCTGCTGGAAGCAAGCCTGAAAGACAAACTTTATTCCTAAAGATGTCTACGCTCTGGTTGCCAGGCAGAAAAGAGGAATGATTCCCAGGAGAACTGTTGTCTGTGGTAGGATTCCTTCCTGGGCAATCCATTTGCACACAACTAGCTCAACCCTCTTGTACTTACGCACTGTTACTCCCCTCCACAGGAAGACATGGGGAGAGGGTGGCTGTTAGAAAACCTGACAAGGAGACACAAGGAGATGACCAGTGTTTTTCTGTGTGGGAACATGTTGCTTCTAAAACTTGGTGCAGATTGAAGGTGTGGAGGTTGTGGTGCATGCTCTTTTTGAGCATACTGTGCAGACTACTGTTGCTGTTATAGATTTAGTGGGTAAATGAGATGGTAGGTATCAGTGTCTCCCTTTTCTCCCCTCTTCACCCAAGCAGACAGCTGAGTGTGCTTTGTAGTCACATCCCATGAACTTCTGCATCCATTCGCAGCACTAAATCAAGACCTTGTCCCTCAGGCTTTGGCCAAGGCCAATCTCTCCCATTTGATTCGCTTTTAATTGCATAAAGATGCCTTAGATCACATCTTTGCTGGTGGAGCTGCATGCGAAGAAACTAGAACAGGCTGGAACAGAATCAGATCTTAGCAAAAAGGTGCTGGGCAGCCACACAAGTGGGAGTGTTAGAGCTGGCTTGGCTGTGTCTGGGAGTACAATGTCACAGTTGCCTGGGGTACAGAGCCTGAGGGCTCTCTGTGCTGTGATGTCTACGCAGAGCTGGGGCTGTTCACACCTTGGTTTGGGGAGGAAGGAGGTGGAGTGGCTGAGCTGCTACCTTTCCCATCTGAGTGGGGTGGATCCATGTTAGCTGGGAGACAAAATGACGGTGACTGGTGTGGTGTTTTTCAGATTGATGGACTGGAGGAGAAGCTGGCGTGTTGCAGACAGAGCATAGAGGAGGTGGATCTTAAACTGCGCAGGGAGAAGCTCAGTCCTGAAGGAAGGTATTGATGACCACCTCCTTTCACAGCTGTGGCCGTGCACTTCAGCTAGCTGTCATCCTGCTGTACTACTGAGCAAGGGCTCTTGAAGGGATGAGAATGCGTGGCTCCCCATGACAAGACTTTCTCCCCCAAGCTTGGAGCTTGGGGAATTTGCCAGGGTGAGAAGTTCAGTGATATATGGAGAGAGCTTTATCTTATCAACAGTCTCACTCTCCAACCTGCACCACAACCGGCCAAGCAGTGCCCGAAACTTGCCCGTTTATTTGCAGAGCTGGCTCCTGGTCTGCTAGGAAACAGCTCTGTGAGTCTGGCAAAGGTTCACTACGTGCTGCTACTCGAGCCTTGCTGAAGCTGCCTCAGTTCAGTCAGGGGAGATGTGCAGCAGCTACTGCTGAGGGCCAAACCAGGCTGGGATGCAACTGGAAAAGGGGCTGAGAGAAATTACGCCCTGTGCCTGCCCCTGTGCTGCAAATGTATCTGGATGTAGGGATGCAGTGACACACTGTCTTTCCTTGGGAAAGGGAAGAGAGACAATTCCCCTGAAATCTGTCACTGATATAGAAGAGGCAACTGTAGGCTTCTAGAGCTGGGATGCAAGCAAGGACTTTGACCTGGATTTTGTAGCAGACACAGGCAGAACCTAGTTTCTCTGGAATGTGAAGTGAGAGATCCTAGATCACCCAGCTGATTCTCAGATCTCTCTGTTCGAGAACATTCTTGCAGTCACCAGCATCTTACTGCTCTGCTCCTAGCAAAAAAGGCTGGGAAGCTCAATCATAGGCCCAGGAAGCTCAGTCATAGGCCCAGGAAGCAGTCCTGTTGTTCTGGTGTCTGCTCTACAGTACTGTCCTACAGAACCCAGTTAGAAATGATCCCAGCAGTAGTGACATCTCCATACCATGACACTTATCAGCCTCAGCTTAACTTCTTTGTTCCTCCTTTCCACTTTCTGTCTGCACCCCTCCGCCCCTTTACTGGCGTTTTATATCCCCATCCATATTTGGACAGGGTCCTGTCTCCCCCTGTCCTTCATCTCTCTAGCTCCTCATCTCAACAGTTGTTTTCTAGGCCTAAATTCTTACATTTACTGTCTGAATTCTTTATCTGGTACTTAGGTGGCCACCACAAACCTACAGTTGTGGTAACTCGACAAGATGGAATATATCTATATGATTTCTCTGAAATATACAGCCTAGAGCAAAGAATTGGGAATAGGGATTCCTGGGGCCTTTTCTGAATTTTACAACTTGTATGGTGATGGAAATAGAAATTCTGTTGCCCCAATCCAGACCATTTGAAAAACCCTGAAGGAAGGTACCATGATCAAAATTATTGATTTAGTGAGTAGTACACAAAGGAGAGCTCTGCTTTCTCATTCAGTTGTCATGGTTTCTTCATGTCTCGTTCTCAAAGCCTCTTCCCTTGACTCTCTTCACAAGGCAAATTTCTAAGTAGCAGCTCAGTCATGTTGGTAAATCTGTCTTCTCACTTCCTCCTGGCTGCGCTCCACATTGCCTTTCCCCAGTTGCCTTTGAGAGCCCTTTCCTCTACTGCTGCTCTGACATACCTTGCTTTCCTGCCATCCCTTATTTAACTAGCTGTACACATAGATTTGGATCTCTTTCCTCCTACAGGTTCTTGCTCTGCCCCAAGGGGAACAACTCTGTTACACTTACTGCCTTCTCGGTCTAATCTGAACTGGGAGATAATTTGTTAGTGCATGTTTATTTATATGCACGCAGTCTGAAAGGAGTGACCGTGTCCTCATTGCTGTAATGGAAATGCTGCTGCTTTCAGGCAATTTGTTTTGCATTTATATTTTAAACCATATATCAATTAATCATCTTGTGCAGTTTAAGACAAGGGCTGGGTTGGCCTGACTTACTCTTCATTGTTATTATCCTGAGTCTTCAGTCTAATAACAGGTTGTTTAACTGGTTGTTACAGGGCTTGGATTCAGCTTGTTTCCCTGAGTTGACCAGTTTGTGTAAATTGGATACCTCTGACAAAGGGATCCCAGCTTCACTGGGTGAGAAGAACTACTGTTCCAGCACTGAG